TTCCATCCTCTCCTCCTCTCGCCCACACTGCCATTCCACCCACTGTCGCCTCCAACCATGTCGCAAACGCAAACTCACTCACTCACCCCAGCATGCCACTCAACCGCAACAGAGTCCCGACATACTCATTCCTCGGTTCCACACATCGCTACGGCTACTGATCCAGTACTAGCCACACACTACAGACCACTTGCTTGTCGGGAATACTCTCACTGCCACCCGCTCCCGGAAGCCCGTCACCCATCCGTCCGGCCAGTCTGGACTGCTCGCACTCACCGCCGTCTCCCTCCGCGTTATCAGTCCGCAACCAGGTCGCGAACCCGCCCCGAACCCCCACAAAGGGCGACTACATCCCCCGGGCCAATCGCGTCCCGCCCAGTGAGAACGCCGAACGAACTCCCTCGCCGTCCGCGCGACGCCCTCTGCGTGCTCAGAACGTACATGCGACCGGATCGATGACGAGCTTCTCCCTCGTAGGTACAGAACACGGCGTAGTCCTGCCGACTAGAGCACCCGCCGCTTCGCACCCAATCGCTATCGGACTGCCCCGTCTCCACTGACGCACGCTCGCGACCACCGGCTTCGACCTGCGAATGGAATACCCCGAGACCGCTGATTTTGACATCGACCCGCCGTCGCCGCGTCTGCATCATTCATTGACGCGGCTCCCCTCCATGCAACGCGTTCACGGCCTCGCGGGCCTGGGCCGCGGCTCGCCCGCACCCTCATCAGTGCCTTTCGCCTTCCATGGGACCGCCGGCAGCATCTCCATTCTTTGATGAAATGGGAGGCACGCACGCACGCACGCACGCACGCAGAAAACAAGGCCGGCTGAGTAGTACTACGTGCACTAGATAGGCAGGAAACGTACAACGACCATGTACCCATAACAGAAACAACGCATCGGACTACAAGGATCGCCCGATATAGCGCCCCGGCCACTCGCAGCCTAGACAGCGCGATTATTCACCCTCAGCGTGACTGCACCATCGCACCGGCCACTCACGCACGGCGCACAGGGACGACGGTGCCTTTCACGACGGAGCCTTTCTCTTCTTCCGCACCGCCAGCACTGTCACCGGCGGAGCAGTGCCCGCGCCGCCCCCAGGCGCCCCGTGTGCCCCGCCCCTCGCCGGCAGCGGCGCGTTGCTCACCGCGACCGCGCCGTAGATGTACGACCGGTACGTCTCCAGCGACGCGACGGGCTCCGCAAACGGGTTGGGCGACACGTCCGGGACGTGCGCCCTGCCCCCGGTGCGGGGCGGAGGGGTGCACGGCACTTCTAGGGCCATGCGCGAGGGACCAGGCTCGGGCGTGGACGGCCGCTCCGCATGACGGACCGAAGGCGTGGGTGACGAGGGCACCGGCGCGAGGTCCTCGCACAGGCCCTTGATCGCCCCCTCGAGGGTCTCCGTCGCGCGCACGGCGCGAGAGCGGGTGGAGAACTCGTGGTGGTGCAGCAGCGTCGCGACGACACGCCGCACCATGCGCGGCGCAACCTGCCCGGGCTGCGGGGCCAGTGGCGACGCGGCTGATGAAGCAGGGGTGGTGCGCGACCGGCGCTGTGAAGACATCCCCACGGCGAAGAAGCCCGTTACCACACCAGAGACGCATTCCTGGCGGAACGACATCCGTTCCCAGAATTCGTCAGGAGTCACCTTGCCCAGCTCCCCTTGTGCCCCGTCTTCGTCATCGTCTTGCTCGCTGGTGGGACGATCGGCGGATCGATCGCCATGGCTGGACGTGCGCGCTCGTTTCTGTTTGGGAGAGCCTATCCCGTCGGCGTTTGTCGTGTGTGCAATCTCGTCCATAAATCGAGACTTTGGATCGTCGTCGAATGATGGGATGAAGTGCCCTAGATTCAGACGAGAATGCTCCCTCCTTCCAGAAGTGCAGGGTAAAGGTATGTCAGATTGTGAATAAGGGTGCCCGTACGTCCACGGAAGGTTGCCGGAACCATCAGAACCCGAAGTGCTCTGGGATATCTTTAGCGAATGTACTGCTTCGAGCTCACTGAACCCAGGGAGTACGTAGTACTGCCTTATTTTTATCGTCTCCTCTCCTCGTGCAGCCACGTCCGACGTCGTGTCAGACAGCAGACGTTTCCACCATACGCAGAGCTGTGCATCCGCCAACGGCCGCTTTCCGGAGAATTCAGAAGAGTTGGGGAAGAGGTACTGTGCCTGTGCACGAGCGAACAGCTGTATCCAGAGGTGATCAACGTGCACGGGTCTGGTGGACGGGTCAGCATAGAATTTGAGCAGCCCCTTCACGAGCGCAGCAGTGGGAGACGGCCTTGTGGCGTGCCCCGATGAGTCGACCTTGGAGATGTAGAGAATGCCGCATGACGTGGCAGGGTTGTTGTAGAATGATGCCTCAATGGCAGTGACCAGAATCCGGGGAGAGTCTGGCGTGGTCTGTTCCGACAGAAGGATAAGAATATCCTGCAGGTAAACCCGAGGCCGAGGCTTTGCGTAGGGGAATAGATCGGACCTCTTGCGCGGCGACGAGACAAGAACGTGGATGTGGAACTCGCGGGTCCCCGGGAGCGTCGCAAGCGACCCCAGCAGCTGATCGCGCAGATTCATGCTGCGACACCACGCGGTTCAGCCATAGCGATGTCATCGGTAGCTCTGGGGGAAGTCGTACCTAGCGGCTGGAAGGTGCGGCTGCGCCTATGCGCTCCAGAAAGAACCTGGAACGCTAGTCAAGGCAAGGCAGCCCAAACGATGCGGCTCGAAACTCACTATGAACAGCCGTGAACCGAAATATGCCACCAATCAGCAGCCCTGCCGCCTTGTCTACGACCGCGATACCTGCGGGTGTTATCAGCAATGCTGCCGCGCACATTCGCCATTTAGGAATTGCAAGAAAGGAACAGAGGGAACTGGAGCTGACCATGAGCAAGCAGGAGTGTGTAAAGGATGCGTTGCAAAATACGCTTCTGGTTAGGCCGGGTGTTCAGAGCGTCGCGGAGACAAGCAACGATGTCCGACAAGTCGGCGACAAATTCTAATCGACTCGCTCCCTTTAAGGAAGGCGTTGTGGTTGGCTTCCACGCGCCTTTGCTGACACAACTCTTGAGCTTGTCGTACGAACCAACATTCACCGCCACTTAAACAACTGTCGAATACTACTGTACTCATTACGGATGCGAGAAAATGACCAAGACAAACCTGAAAAATGTAACATAAAGGCTACAGTGTACAGTTCTACGAACAGATTGTGCAAAATTACAAAACAAAGCGAGCTCGACAGGGATGCAAAAATTCACGCGACGTATGCGAACGTATCTTTGGTGCCCTCCACTCGCTCGATGTACTCCTTCTCCAGCAAATGATCGATCGCCTATAAAAGTCGGCTCATTAGCAATGAAGATCGTCTCTGATTGGGGACTGCGCACCTTCTTGATATCTGGAACCCGGGGCGTGAACCGCTGCGAGATCTGCGCAGTGACCTCGGTGATTAGCTGCTGGTTCTTCAACGTCTTCCTCGCTTTCATGATACTTTCCACAACCTATCAGATATTTATAACCGTTCAAATGCGCCTACCACGTACCGGACGATGGTCGCTTGGATGACATATTTACGATCCTCGTCCACGATCTTCAACACGTCCGTGGTCTCGGCCTTTTGCTCGGCCTTGATAGGAGTGTTGAGGTTAATACGGATCTTCTTTGACTTGAAGTCTGCGAAGGAGTGCCGTTAGATGGGCATAAAGCACGAACTTGACTACCCACTAGGGTTCAAATCAAATTGATCATTATCATCGCTGATCAGGATCTTCGCCTTGACCAAAACCGCCAGGACCTGGTTCAAATACTCCTTCGAAATACCGGTCGCATTGGTGAGCTCCTGGAAAGATAGCGTGTCGTTGCTGTTATATTGCAGCAGAACCGCCATTTGCCACGAACTCGTCATCAAGATATACTTCTGGTTGAGGTAGTTTGTGCGAAGTTCATTCTTGGAATAGTTCCACAACCACGTCAGCTTGCGACCCGAGTGCTTCGTCTGATAATACTTGGTGAAGCGCTCATAGGTAGGCGTAATGTCGGTGGGAACGATGAACTCCGGATTGACGGGAGTCAGAGGCCAGAAATTTGTGCCGAGCACCATGACGCTAAAGTTGAGATCCATATCATCGTGATTCTGTTGCATACGCTCTTTGAACTGATCAGTGAGATCCTTGCTAAGGCTCATATCTATAATGTTCTGTTAGATCAAGCGAGGCACGATAAAATTAACATTTACCGGTGAACATGCGTTGCAGCTTGTTCGTGTACTCGAAGCCGCATGCTTCCTTCAATTTCGAGATCATACTCGCCTCGGCTTCATCGGACGCAGAAACACCATGAATCAGGCGCTTGGATAGCTTCGTAGTGTAGTACGTCTGGAACACGTCCTTATCGTCGATGTACTTGAACAAGATCATCTAAAACGTAATAACCCACGAATGAGCGGGGTGAGCGAATTGAGCTCAGCTCTGAGCAGATTGACGTACCACTCGGTTCAGTGCACTCTCTAGATCCTCCTCCTCGGCCATCTTGTTGCTTTTCCTGAGCAATGCATCCGCGTGCTTCGCCAACAACTCAGGCGATTTCGTCGTCGAGGTGCCAGTGGCATCGTTCTTGTTGACAAATTCACGGCAGGCCTTATCTAAACTGGCTACAAAGCCGGCCTCACCACGGAAGCTCCTCTGGACAGTCTCCGAGTTCTTCTGGTGCACTTCCAGAAGAGCATCGACATACGCCTTAGGATCAATCTCAGCTGAAGCACCGCCCTCTCCCACAAGCTTCTTAACTGCTGCAAGACCGGATCTTTTGACATGTTGCTCGAATCTCTCGCGCAATGGTTGAAGACCGTCGGTAATGCGAGCGAGAAGCCCATACATACGCTGAAGATCTTCATCTTTGTCGTAGTCCAACAACTCTTGGAAGTTGTCCCACATCTTCTCTGAGTGCTCAGTGATAAGCACCCGGTCGCATTTATTGATGAGACCCTTGCGGGTGTTCGTGTTCAGATAGCGCTCGACGCGGTCCTCTTCCTCTCGCAGACGCTCTTCCGCCTTTTTGAGGTAGTCCGCAACCGAGTTCTCGGCAAGGAAGGCCTTTGATTCTTGCCGATAGTATTTCTCGGTGGCATCCAGGAAAGGCACCTCAAAGTGTTCCTTGTACACCTCGTAGGATACCTTGTTTATGTCTCCCTCATCCAAACCGAGTGAGACGAATGAATCCACAACTTTCTTCACCAAACCCTGATCTATGGTGTCACCGTTGCGCTGCCGCTCGATGAGTCGCAAGATAGCGCCCGCAAGCTTCTGCTGTTTGCTTTGAACGTGCATAAAGAATTGAGCTCTCCATTGTACAAGAGCAAGCTATACATACGTATCAGGGGTAAAGTAAGACATAAAATGCGCAAGGGGCGTACAGTGTATACAGGGTATACGCCCTTCCTGCCCTCGTCTCGTTCACGCTTGACCCAATGACGGTTGAGATAAGTGAATAATCTGTTGATATAATTCGCGCCAGTGGTGTATCGGTCCCATTCCCCAGCATAAAATCGCAGTAGCGCCTCATCCTGGAGAGCGTCCGAGTGCTACGGGAAATCGGTCAGCCTCATATCAAGACAGCGTAAAAAATAGCAAGCAATACGCACTGTTCTAAGACCCTTAAGATGATCGATAAAGTAGCGAATGAGGTGATTGTACAAATCGGATCCCATCAAGTTTGCTCCAGCTGTAGTCAATTAATATGTGCTCGTCGGCAGGTACTAATAGACAACTCACTGCGCGGTGCAAGCCCCTGCTCACCAGTGCTGTGCATCTTAGAAGATGTGCAGTAGTTATACGAAACGGTGTATAGGCTCATGTACTTGGAGTACGAGACCCCCGTCTGCAGCTTGGTCATTATGTGGTCGACACCCTCCTCCAGATACGCCCATGTCGTGGCCAAGTCAGCATTTGGGGGTGGCATGGGGTACGCAGGAGTGTTGGAGGAGCTCGCCATGGTGAGTTGCGCACAGCGGTGGCTCAAGGCGAAAGGGAGGATATGGTGATGGCGAGAGCTTGCAATGCGCCGAGCGCGCAAAGGGCGTGGCCAAGCACCGCAACCCTAACGTCACGGCGCGTTACAGCCGAACGCTTGTCACCCTGACTTAGTCACTCCGATTGGAACAGTGGATGAGACAAAGGATTGCACACGACTGCACGGCTACTACAGTCAACTATGGAGGTAGTTGAATAACCTCCAAGATTATAATAATGCAATGACAAGTGGATCTGTTGTCATAGTTTCACGCCCATATGAATCGAAGCGATGCCGTTCCACTGGTCTCTCCAAGCACCACCTTTCCCTTCAAACATTCCGCCTGTGGTGAACCCCGCATCAACGATCATCTGGGCAAACTCAGGCTGCGGGGGGAACTTCCGTATGGACTCGACGAGATATTGATATGATGCTCGATCACCCGCCAGAATAGTCCCCAGGAGGGGGATAACGGAGAACGAATACTGGTCATAAACGCTACTCCGCAAGTCAGAAGAAGGCCCTCGAGTGTAAAGGACCATTCGAGACGTACGCGCCGAATAGAGGATTGTTCACTTTGCTGAACTCGAGGCAAGCGAAAGTTCCGCCTGGCTTCAAGACTCTGTATGCTTCCTTGAGAACATCCGGGACGGATGTACAATTGCGAATACCAAAGGCAATGGTATATAAGTCATATGTATTCGACGGGAATTGCTCCTCCGGGAGTGCCTGCGCGTTACCCTCGCGGAAAGCAATTTGAGGTGCTGCAGTGCTGTCATCGAGCCAACGGCAGAATCCGCATACGAATCACGTACTATTGTGATACATTGTTTTCTTGAAACGCGTATACCCCGCTTTCAACATTTCTGTATTGATGTCCACGACATCTATGGTCGTCTCCCTGTCCGCGTAGCGTTCTCTCGCGAAGTCCAGTAGACGGAGTGCGATGTCTCCTGTGCCGCCAGCGACATCAATGCATTTCATGGGCCCTTTAGAGCCAGGATTGAGCAGGGAGACGTATTCATCTTTCCAGAGCCGGTGTACTCCCAACGACATCGCGTCGTTCATGAGGTCATACGAGGACGCGACGGAGTCGAAAACATTGCGCACGAGGGACTCCTTGCTCTCTTCTGGCACCGTTTGAAAGCCAAAGTGAGTGGTCTTCGGGCCTTCTGCATTTTGTTGCGAGGATGTCTGGTTGTGGCTAGACCGGAGATGGAATCTTGCAGAGCAAAAAGACCGACAGGTTCTCCGGGCCAGCGTGCTTGAGAGCATGGTCGAATGGGGTGTTCAGGGGTCTCTTACACGATCGGTCAAGCAACCATATATCAGGACCCTGAACACTCCCAGCTGCATCCGGAACTCATTAGCCTGGGAGGCTCTAAATTTCTCCCTACTTATGACATACACTTCTGGGGCGAATATCGCTGTTCACTATGCCTTCAACCAAAGGGAAGGAGAAGGTGGTTACTATTGATGGCCCAGCAGGAGAGGAACTAGACATTCACCCGCATCCTGACGCGGCTTCCGGCTCAAATTTTGGCTCGGACTCGGACTCGGACTCAGCATCGGACTCCAATAGCGAGTCAGATTCTTCCTCCAGTGAGTCAGACTCGGAAAGTGACCTAGATGAAGAGACCACAAAAAAATTCCTTGCTACTCTCCTCGAAAGAGCGAGGAAGAATGCTGCAGCGCGATTACTGTCCCGCGATGCGCCTAAACATTTAGCTGCGGACGATGAGGAAGATGTAATAGTTCTCGATTCGGATGAGCCTCAAAAAGACAAGTGAGTAGCGTATGGACGTGTATTGCATTAATTAAATCTAGTCATCTCGCATAGGCCTCTGCCCCCTCTAGACCCCGGAACACTTCCCTCGCCATACATCGAGCTCGGCTCCTCACGCAAATCTGGCCCTTCTGCTGTTAGAGACATTGATACTGAGCTTGTACAACAGGCAAATCCCTCCCTCGATACCCCTGCTCCACCCTCGGTTCCTCCTGAACTCACAAATACGGGCAAGCGGCTTACGAAAAAGGAGAGGAAAGCGGTAGGGCTTTGCAATTTAGCTGCGCCAGAGTATTCCATTCTCATTGAATCATCATCACTCGTAGCTCAAGAACACAACAGCTGGGCCTGATTGGTTTGACCTTCCGGCTCCTGCAGAAGCGGAGCTTCCACGATTGTACCGCGAGGTGGAAGCACTTCGATTGCGCAATCAATTAGATCCCAAGAGGTTCTACAGGAAAGATGAAGGAGAGGGAAAGGGTATCAAAGGACTCCCGAAGCATTTTGCGGTGCGTTTTTTTGACAGACACTTTCGTGTGCAATCGTCTCATGATTGTTCTATCAAATTTCTTCCTACGAGTAGATTGGTACGATTGTGCCTACAAGCACGCCGTTTGGCACAGATAGTGGAGACAATCTCAGTCGATCGAGCCGAAAGCGTACCCTTGTTGATGAACTCGTGGACGATGCGGAGGCGAAAAGCTACGCGAAGAAGAAGTTCAAAGATTTACAATCGGTGCGGGGAGCGAGAGGAAGAGGGACGCTTGCACAAAGGAAGGCAGCACGCAGACTGAAATGGTAGCAGTGTATCAATAATCTTCAACGCAGATAGTGTTTACTAGGCGATGCATGGCCATCGTTACCGATAAGTTGTGTACGTGCTTCAATGAGTTCAGAGGTGGGAAGCACTGATTGCGGTGTATGAAGCATTTCTATTTTTGAAACATCCTTCGAGCTTGCTCTCAATACGACGACTTGCGTACGATCAACAATAACCTAGATCATACATGCTGGCAGCAGGAACTGAGAATATCCGGTGCACAAACTGACACCTTTCAACAACTTCAACTGCTACCCAAAAGCCTCTCCTGCTTCTCGGCATGCACAAGCAGGGGTCGAATAATGTATCGTATTGGGTGCAGAATACTTTATAAGATTTGGAAAGTCTATCCTACTGACTCTCCGCGATGAAAAGGGTTAAAAACTTGTTAAAATGCACTTGCAACTGCAGTAGTATCATCTCGTCAACTTGCCCACGTCAATGGGCCGCTCCTGCCCGAGCTACCTGCAGAAGGGCAAGTCTGCCAGCCACTCGGGCGGTGGAGGAGGCGGGCCGCACCCGTCCCAACGACAATCCGTCCAATTGCAGTGCGCGCATGACGATCAAACTCGGTCGGCATCCGTCCGCCCGCCTTGCGTGGGCGATCTCATTTCCTAACTCGTCTGCAATGACTCGCAATGTGAACATGGAGCTCGCGACGACGCTCTAGAGTTCACGGTGCCGACCCGTAGTGGTGAAATGGCAATTGGCGACGGGATGCTCACTGGGTGGGGATTACGACGGCGAGTCAGCATTCCGTTACCGCACATATATAAAAGGAGGACGGCCGTAGGGATTTCTCACCAAAGCGTTCACGGCCATTTCACAAATATCATCTACTTCTGAAGCATGCCTTTCGAACTCAACTTTCCCCCTCACACCGGTGAGTACTAGTAAATTCCCAAATTTCACTACCTCAATTCGGGCCTAGGCAACGGGTTTGTCCCCACTGTCCGCCATGACACATATCCCGCCATCGACCCCGCCAAGGCAAATTTCGCTGGCAAAGTTGTCCTCGTCACCGGCGCATCCAAAGGCATCGGGAAGACCATCGCAATATCGTTCGCCCAGGCCGGTGCCACTGGTCTGGTCCTCCTCGCCCGCTCCGATTTGAGCGCTACGGAAGCGGCCTGCAAGACAGCCCAGCGCCCTGGGCAGTCGCTCGCAGTATTGTCCCTGTCCGTGGACATCAGCGACCCTGCTCAAGTCACTGGTGCGTTGGCCAAGGTCAAGGAGACATTTGGGCAGCTGGATGTTATTGTGAATAATGCGGGATATCGGGAGCCGTATGCGCTGATTGGGGACTCGGAATCTGAGTCGTGGTGGCGCACGTGGGAGGTGAACATCCGAGGGACGTATGAGGTTACTCGGGCGTCGCTACCGCTGCTCGTTGAGTGTGACGGATCCAAGACGGTCATTATTGTCACTAGCCGAGCCGCACTCGGTGCAGTCCAGTCGCAGCTCTCTGCATATGTAGTGAGTCCTGAAAATAACAGCCGAAACAGACTAAGAACTCACTTCGCCTTCTTATAGATGAGTAAGCTCGCCCAGCTTCGCTTTGCGGAGCTCATCGTAAGCGAGTACGCCGACAAGGGAGTTGTCGCACATTCTGTTCAACCCGGTGTCATCTTAACTGATATGGCCGCTGACTTCCCTGAGGACCTGAAGCACTTAATTGTTGACACACCTGAGATCGCTGCGCACACGATTGTCTGGCTTGCTCGAGAGCGCAGGGAATGGCTGTCCGGCCGATATGTGAGCAGCCAGTGGGATGTCGAGGAGCTGGAGGCAAAGAGACAGGAAATTGTTGATGGTGACAAGCTGAAAATCAGGATGGCAATCTAAATACACGATCGCGTACGTATCGCCAGTGCGTAGCCGCTACGGTGGCTATTGATATCCATTATGTATATAAGCGTCGAAATTAAAGCTCGCTTTTTTTAAAGAACAGACCAAGCCCATGTATCAACCCTGATTTCTTATTCCGGTGACTGCTGGAACTAATTTTAGTGAGGGGAATGTAACGGAGCGATCGTGTTGAAATATCGTACCTAAGCGGTCGCCCAAATGTCGAAATATTAGTGAACATTCCACGTTGCCTTATTCATCATACACGTACACAGAATTGTAAGTCCGTAGTTCTAGCAAGAGGAATTCTAGTGTATAGTCACGAATACCGAACTACATTATGCCAGATTGAATTCTGAGCATGTTGAGATGGATAGACCAGGCATAGTAAGTTGGCAGTTAGCTGATACCGTCATGGATAAAACCGCGGGAGCTTATTTTCACGAAGCTACCACAGTTTGAGTATCGTCGTTATTCAGATTATCCCAAGAATGCAGGTTCAATTTAGGCTAACTCGACGACGGTAGTACGAATGTGATCCTGAGGCGCCTAAGGAAGAAGTACAGGCGCCAGCCCGTCGCCACTAACCAGCGCCTATTTACACTTTCATTGCGCTGTTTTGTAAGCGCTGTTCCTTCACCATCGACCACGATGAGCTATCCCCCGCGAATGCCCTTCCCGCCTCCAGGTATGGCTGGCATCCCCCCACCGCCTCCCGGGA